CAATCATGTTGAGGATTCAAGAGAAATGCACGTGATGCTGATTATTAGGATACAAGGCTTGCAATCAAAACAGCAGGTATTATATAGTATATTCTCCTTGGTATGTTTAGATGCTAGCCAGGCAGGAGTGTTTCTGACATCAACTTTGGCGACAATTGCATGCTGTGTCTACAGAATGTGGATTGACATGTGTTACTCGGTCATCTTCATGCCCCCACAAATGTCTCGATATGTCTTCATCTAGTTGGTGCAAGAGAATATTCATGAGCCATCTTCTCATCTGAGTGCTCTACTGGTTTTTGTCGGCAGAAATGGCTGCATTCTTCCCACCTAGACAATCAATCCATTTGGTATCGGTCGGTTCTGCGTTTGTACCTTGAAGAAACAGGAATCTGAAAACTTTCACAAAAGAGATGGAAACAAGATGCTGAACCATTTTCTTCTTTTCCTACCAAGTTTCTTTGTTTTTCTTTTCCTTTTTTGGGTGGTAACACCAAATTCCACGGTTACAACGAGAGCGATTCCGGTGAAGCACTCGTAGTTTCTGTATCTTGAAATTTTGAGGATGAAATATTTTGCTGCCAAGAAAAATAGAAACAAATGAAAGCATCTTTATGATATACGGAGAAGAAGGGGGGGAGAGAATAAAGGATTTTAAGACCACATTTCATTATTTATCTAGATTTACTCTACATGGACTGTATATATATGATCAAGTGGACCATGAGCCATCTTGATTGAGATATAGTATTTCATCAAGTATATAGCATATAGCACTGACTTCTCTCCGTCATTAAAATTTGCTAAGAGGAGTTTGGTTTATGTCAGGCTCCGGAAGTGTCTCTCCCTGTGTGTCTGTGGCTGTGGCTCCCACTCAGTCTTCTTCACCGCTAGACGGCAAACCAATGATATATCCGACTATTTATATCGGACTCAAGAAGCTGCGTGAGTAGAACCAATCACTGTCTTGGTGGCTTTTTATATTGATCCCCTGAATAATTTGATAAGAAGCAATTCAGCAATTTTCCTTTCTCCTTGCACATCAGTGTCCTCGTCGAGCTGATCTCTATGGTAATCTAATTTTCTTTGTTTTGTTTGGGGTAGTAGATATCCTTAGCTAGTTGATGTGTCCTTCGATTCACGTGATTTGGGCGTGGCAAGCAAACTTCTTTTTCATTTCAAATGTAGAAAAAGGAAATACATGGGAGAGATAGGGATTTTCCTCGGTATATACAAATAAATGATTGCCGAGTTGACGTAACACATCTGCTAGACTAAAAACACTAATTGCGTTTGAAAGAGGGACAGACATGGATGATGGACTGTGTCATTTCCCACAGCATTATTCGGGTACGTGTGTCCTACGTCAAATGGCAAAGGCAAAGCTGGATGATGGACACACGGAGGACAGAGAAAGGAAAGGAAAATGATGCTAATAATAAAAAGGAAAGAGGAAAAAAAAAAGAAAAGAAAAGGGTGGGGGGGGCTAGGAATGTGCGGAGTGTCGATCACGGGCTTCGTTTGACTCCTAGTGGAGAGAAAGGGAGTCAGGCTCAGGTTGGTCCGGAGCACGCGCGCATGCTTTTCTGTGGGACCCACTCTGACCTACGACATCGCTGTCACCAGCATGACCTCACTCGGATCTGGTACGCTTTGGGATCGGAGTCCAAAAACCACATTCATTCATGGACGTTGGTGATCATTCCTCCTCGACTTGCGCACCACCACCGCAACGCCTTGGCACCAGTGCATTTCTTTTTGACTCGTGGACGGCGTCGGCGAGTGTGTAGGAGCTTATGGATCCGATTCGCACAAAAAAATATTAAAAAAAAAAAAAAAAATAGAAACGAAAATTCTCAGACGATTGGCAGACTGATAAGCCACATGGATGAATGCTGAATGGTTCGTCCCTAAATAGTTATTACTATTCTGGCAGATGACTCGCTGTACCAGTCAAAAGAAATTATACATCCTTAGTTTTAAGAGAAAAGGTGCATCTTTCGAACCTTATTCTCACGTCAAGAGGAGCATCAGTTTGGTACACGAGTAATAAAGTAGGAAGGAAATCACGTTTGTTTTCCATGTCAACGCACCGCATATCATGGGAGCAAATTTGTCATGAATCCGCGTGTAGGCCTCTCTGGATTAAACTTGTAATCTGATGGAATTTAAGGTTAAAACAAACACGGAGGAGCGACATATTAATAGCCGATAACGAGTCGTCGAAGAATGGTAGATTGGATCCACTCTCCTCTCCTGCAGGGAAGAACACAGGTGTCGATGGCCAATAGTATACATGCATGTTCACCGCCCTTGTAGACTAGTCTTCTTTTGCAATAGGCTGCCTCTTTCATTTTATATAAATTATTTTTCTAGCAACGCATCTGACGAACTCGAAATGAACTCTCAAATACATAATCTGAGAGGCGGCTGAAGCAAGCGACGATGAGCAAGGTGCAGAACGCGTACCCATGAGCTTAATTAATTTCCAAGCGTTTTAACACCTATTAATGATACCGCCGACTCATGTCTTAGGCGAAGCAAGATTTCTGAATCAAGATACACCTTACCACATCAACTGAACCTTTAGATAGTGCAAAAACAAAAAAGGGCACATGTACGTGAGCAAGTCATTGGTTGGATTAAGGTCCAGAGTGCGACAGTACGTAGTTGGCTTTATAAATACTAAAAAGAATGACAAGTTCTTGGCATCACCTTAAAAACACAGAAACATTCAACCACTGATATCATTACCATGCCGTGGGTTGCCTAGTTAATCATCCGAGGATTTAACGAGTGTAATCATCTGGTTCGTCAGGGTTGGACTCAGGCTTTAAGAGCGTATCCACAGAGTTAAAACTGACCAGCGTTATATATAAAAAGATCCCTTTTCGGCAGACCGAAGGAGAAGCTGTTGAACCACCACGGATTATCTTGGAGTTGGGATTGGTTGAATAGGTAAGTGACAAAGAGCAAACTCCAATTAAATGGTCGAAATGGGGTGTCAAGTCTAACAAGACGAATCATTGGAGGGGCCTAAGCAGATAAATGAAGTGTTAATCAAACAGCATGGGAAGAAGTCATTGTAATATCTAAAAGATGTAAATTTTCTAAGGTAATGTCATAGATAAAATTTATACAATATAAATCATGCTTTCCGACCGGGATGGAGCATCCTTTAACCGCACAGTGTTCTAATATCTTGAACGATTATGAGATGCCTTTTTATTTTTTATTCTTTTAATAAAGATTGAACGATTGGCTTTCTGAGGACTAAATCCTGGATATAGTGCTATAATTCAAAGCATCAAATTGTCACTTTTTTTTTAAATTTTTATGGCACCTTTTCTTTCCCCAGAGGGAGAACACTTTGCACAGTTGTGACATGAAGGAAATGGCCTCTAGGATTATATAAAAACACGTACGTTGCTTGAAGTAATAGGAATTATAAAATTCTCGTTGAGTAGAAAGGTGTCCACTATGGGCCCACTGATCGAGACTAACCAATCAATCCTCACCTACTTCGCGTTTTGATTTAGCCACAAATTAAAGAATCAGATCAACCCAACATTCGAAAAAACACTCGTTTATATTGTGTGTGTGTGTGTGTGTGTGTGAGAGTGAGAGAGAGAGAGAGAGAGAGAGAGAGAGAGAGAGAGAGAGAGAGGACCATGGAACAGCTCCACTTCTTGTTTCTAGCAGGAGTGCAACAAATGGAATGGAGCGACCAGAGTTATCCATTTATCGCGTACCAGAAGACACGGACCCAGAATGGTGGGCTTCTTTACTTTCTTTTCCTTTGTTTCCCCTCCCTACCTACAAAATAGAAGACACCGTGAGAATACTAAACTGGCGTTTGTGCTTGCGGATTATGCTCGTTGGACGCCCACCCATCCAGGTTCGGTTTACGAGGAGGACCACAATCCAATCCAATTTAAAAAAAAATGCAGTTGATTCCAATTTCGATTCCAATGATGCAAGCTGCAGCTTCATATTTCCTTTATCGGTATAGTGAATTCTATTTTCACCAGCAAGATGAAAAGCCAAGTCCTACTTGGCTTGCTACACTGTTGTTGCGTCAGTATATTCCGTAGATTGGTGTTGGATGAACCTTAGTAATTAAGTATTGCTGATTACGTCTCACTACCTAATTGTTAATTATACTCTTCCACATGAAATGATATATTACGTCGCCATATGGCAAACACTCTACAATCCATTATCATTGCATTTAGATGCACGCAGCCTTTGCCCCCCTTCGTCCGGTTGCCGCTTCTTAAAATATAGACGCCATACTAATAGTCTTCTTTTCTTTCACGAAGACGCAAATTATTCTCAGTTGGATGCCACTGGTGATTGGGAATTCGAATTACATATAATTAATTTGAGTGTTCCTGATGAGATAGCTCTTTTGGCATTTAACTATTTACTATATCGATAGGGTATGACGCACAACGGGAGAGAGATTATGAAATAGTACATGGCGAGAACTGAATCCTGGGGTTCTTGGGCCCACGCATAAGATCTTTAAAGAATCAACCAAATATCTGTACCGATCTCAGTGCATAATAGACACAGAGATCACACGGTCGAGTGGACGCGTGCGATAATATTAGGGTTGCATCCCTTAGACGTGGGACATGAACTGCTTTATACATTGGTTTTCATCCGTGTCTCTGAGATGGATACTGGAGGTGAGCAGAAGTCTAATCTCTCTCTCTCTCTCTCTTCTGTAGCTAGAGCAAAGGCCTTACTAGTCTCCTTTCGTGTCTTGATCAGGAGATTAAAGTAGAAGAGTCTACATCGTTTTCCTTTGTGCTGAAGCGAATATACAAAAATTCTGCGGAAAAAAAGGGAGCACATTAGTCTGTGACAATCATGTAAATTGGTTAAAAGCAAACCGCTTCGTTCCATTTCGCATCTTGACGCTTTCCCTTGTCAAAGGTCAAACGGGAGCAAACGTGTGGTCACAACCCAAATCGTCCACCCTCAAAATGGTTTTTGGTATATATAAGCGATTCGGGACTCCATCCCCCCCCAACTCTTTCCGTCCAACCCAAGATCCCAAGGAAGCTATAGCCAAACGCTAGAGAAGTGGAGCTGCACAGCTCCATGGCGGACGATTTCCAGACAGCTGGAACATGCAGCGGAGGCAGCGTGTGGAACCCCGCAAGGAGTATCACCGCCATCGACATGCCAGCGGCAGTCTCGTGCATCGCAGACATAGCCGGCAACGCCTCCAGCTGGGCGGCGGCCGAGTTGGTAGACGGCAAAGCTCGGTTCTGTGACGAATCATCGGTCTCCGGTAGCTCTGTGACTTTCCGAGGCAGTCGTAAGGTCCAGCAAGCGACTGCCGCCCCTTCCGTGATCAACTCCACCTTGCAGTTACCTATCTTGGGTAGCGCAACTCCTTCCATGGATTGGAGCACTCAAGGTTCAGCGTAAGTTCTCATGTTTCCTTTCACATCTAATGCTCATGCGACTTCATATATCACTTACCGTTAGATCTGTGCGGTTGATTATTGACATAAATCAATGATCGATGAAGTAGGAATCGTGCGAGGGGTGACGAGACCAGTTTCCATGCCATGCTCCACGAAGAAATTAGTGCAAGAGCCATATTCGGGCAATATCAATCCATCGAATCCAATCAAGTCCAAACGGGTATCGAGACAACCATGAATCTTCCAAGGGATGCGGACCAAAATTTCGTATTAGACCATCATCATCTTAGCTCCGGTAACGAGTCAGGCGATGTCGGTGTTAGCAGCTACCCCCTCATCATTTCATCCTCCTACGGAAGCCCGTCGTCGATGTTGCAGGGTATCTTAGAAGCCGAGAGTAGAACGCTGCAACCACCTGTTTACGATGACTGGGCCACCAATTACCAGTCACCGATGATGGATTGTCGGGATAGCACGAACGAGCTGCTCCAATCGTCGTGGCCTCAATTGCTGAGATCTTCACCTCCGAAGCATCATCCTGGAAACCTGCTGCAGTTCTCCAACAACGCTCCCTTCTGGAATGCGACGGCCACTGCTTCCGTCAGCGAAACGAACTCAGGCTCTTGCTCAACAGCACCCTCGCAGCTCGACAAGAAGGTTTTTGACGAGAAAAATATCGGCAGTAATTTCACAGATATGGTAATATATTATTAGAGTAACGCGAGTTATCAACTTTCTTCTACAAGTAAGGGTTTGTGGGTGTTGAAGGCACCGCTCTCCTTTTTTTTTTTCTCATAATTTTTTCCTCTTCTTTTGGAAAGACGAATTCAGATGGAGTTCGAGACTCGTATTCCTCATCCTCGAGCGGAAAACCTGGTCAAGATCCTGCATTCAAGAAGCCGCGAATAGAGACACCATCGCCATTACCGAGCTTTAAGGTACAGCCACGCGCAAGATCGAACATTGATTTCAATCAATGGCAGGCAGTTTGAGATCTGCTGCTTTGGTTGACATGTGTGAAAAAATTATATTCCATGTTTGCAGGTGCGGAAAGAGAAATTAGGGGACAGAATCACTGCTCTCCAGCAGCTAGTTTCACCTTTTGGAAAGGTGAGTTCCTTTTTCTTTTTTTCCTTCACAATTTTCCATCATGTTCTCGGGGGACGGAAACTTGTGCTAGGTACATGTCTTCCTTCCAGGTACTCTTGAAAGCATCACTCCTGGCTTTATATCTGAATCATTTCCTCTTTATTTATTTTCAGACCGACACTGCATCGGTTCTTCACGAGGCCATCGAGTACATCAAGTTCCTTCACGATCAAGTTGGCGTAAGTCGCTCGTTCATGCTTTTTCATCATAAGATTAGAGCTTGAAGCATCATTTCCAGCAGCTAATAATTTTCATCCAAACTTAGGTTTTAAGCACTCCGTATTTGAAGAATGGCCACGCCATGCAACAACAGCAACAGGTGCTTCAGCGTCTTACTCTTTTGTGGCTTGATCGTCAATTTATTTGATCGGATTATCGCGAATGAGATATCACAGCTGACGTATCGGCTTGTAAAAAGTGCAGGGCTCGAACAAGTCGAAGGACGGTGAAGGACCGAGGCCGGATCTTAGAAGCCGAGGGCTATGTTTGGTTCCGATTGCAAGCACTTACCCGGTGACGAGCGGAACCACGGCAGACTTCTGGCACCCCACGTTTGGAGGAACCTTCAGGTAGAGAGGAGACTTACCAGGGTGGGGCAGGGGAGGCATGGACGTACGCCTCCCTACAAGCAGCATCAGTTGGGAAAAAAACCCTCGAGTTATTATGACACAATTATGTCGCTTTGTAAAGATATGCAAAACTTGGCAGAGAAAACGATGGAGGAAATGCAGGTAGTAAAGGAGATGAACCCTTCGAGGGACAGGCTGTGTTGGCAAAGCTACATGTAAGTCCAACCATGGACGGGAGTGCTCTGGAGGGCATTATCACTGTTGTCCGACGATTCATCAAGGCGGTGATTTGAGGAACGGGAAGAAGTGCTGCTAAAATTGGCAAAGCAACCTTACATAGGGATTAATTTAGCGAGTGGGGGATAGCTAGCTAGGGTTTTGGTTGCTGATGAATTTAGCACAAGGGAATGGAGAAAGGTGGTTCTTGTTCCTGTTTAATGTGTGTGTGGGGCGGGGGAAGCTGGCTGCTGCCACCACCTCCTCTTTTGTTTTTCTCCATAAGGGAAAAAAGAAATCAGCTGGAATAATTGAGTCGATGAACAGCAAGGGTGTGGTCCTTTTGATCCCAAGCATCTTACTTTTTTTCATTTGTTTATATATTCTCTTGGCGGTAGTGGAAGTCAGAACATGGCCCACATGAAAGCAATTCCCCCAAACAACCCCCGCCCCCACCTTTTTTCTTTTTTCTCCTTTTCATTTTTCTTAAGGAATAGTTTTGTTCGTGTTTCTTATTCTAGGATCATCACGATCAAGGACGTTTATAGGAAGAAACGTGAGGATCATCTTTTTTCCTTATTTATAAATAAGTTCTTGTTTGTCTGAGAACAAGCATGAAACACATATATTTTCTATAAACTAATTACAAAAGAAACTATCAGTAAAGACATTGATTGATAGTTTATCATAAAATCTTGAATTCAAATCTTATATATATATATATATATATATATATATATATATATATATATATATATCCTAGTCGTCTAGATCCATAAACAACATTTATATCGTTGATGGAAACATCATCTTAGGATCCAAATTTGGAAGCCAAACTGGTGGGCAAGGGTGATGGACGACAGGTTAGCCCATTAACTTGGCGGGGAGGAGGGGCCCGTTAGCATAACTGTCGCTGGCCTCATAGAGGGCAGACCAACGCGCGGGTCAGGCCGCGTATGGCAAAGGGCTTGGAATAGATGCTTCGCTTCGCTCTGGGCAGGAGGAGGTTTGACGGACACGATCACCCTCACGCATTCAACTGCTTCTTAATTCTCTAGCACAGTCCAAAGCACGACGGTGCGCAGCCCAGCTAGGTTCATTCTTTTTTCTTTTGTGCCCGTCAGTAGTGTACAAGCGAGTACTCATAACTATTATGCACATCATCTCAAATGCATCAACTAACATGCACCGGGAAAGCTTCCCGTGCTTTTTTTTTTTTGACCTCTCATTATTGGATTGGATTGGTTGTCTCAAATGCATCAACTTGGCTAATGATTGAGGCCAAATATTCTAATGACATAATGCATGAGTTACATTCATATCCTAGGAACTCATTCATATCCTCTCGTTGGGTTAAAATTATGAAGGATTAGTGAAACTATAGTTTTGTTAAGAAACAATATGGGGAATACGTTATAATATTTGATAGAAAGTTTATTGTTAGTCAACCGTCATCTTACATATGACCATCATATGATATCCAGGGTGAAAAGAGAAGATGGAAGTCACCATTCACTCATCTACTCACGTGAGTAAGAGTTCAAAGTAGATGATTCTGAGCTATCTCTCCCTTGTCATCCGTATGGATAAGATGCCAATAAGAGACTATTGGAGATGATTAGAGGCTGTATTGTGTAAAATATTTTATAAAATATTTTTTCTTTTATGATAAGATATAAAAGCTCATATTCAACACAATAAAGAGGAGGATTACTTTCTTGACTATTTGCATCCATACTCATATATCTCAAGGGTTACTAACTTGGGCGTCTAAGGGATCGAATTGAAAAATCTCTCATGACTTCAATCTTTAATTAGGTGATACTTTGGGAACTTAGCATTTTCACCTTAGAGGTACCTCAGACAAACCTATGCTTACAAGTCTAGATTTAGCCGAGATATTTCAAATTCTAAAAAAGTTTGACATATGTCTTAGTTTAACTAAGTATACCTTCAGAGTCAATTCAGGAAAGTTCCTTCGATTCATTTCATATCAGAAGAGAATAAACACAAACTCCAAGAATGTGTAAGCTATAATAGAGATGCAACCACCTCGATTGATGAGGGAAGTCCAACAGTTAAGGGGTTGAATAGCAGTAGTTAGTCGATTCTTATCCCAAGTGGACAGTAGGTGCATCTATCTTTCAATCATTAAAGAACCCATAGAGTTTTCTACAGATTGAGGAGTGTTAGGAGGCTTTCGAAAGGTTGAAGGACTACCTTACCTAGTTGTCACAGCTCACATTCTCTACCTCGAGTGAAACTCCATGCCTTTACGTTGTTACCATTAACCTAGCTATCAACTTAATATTACTACGGGATGACTTGGGAGTTCGAAAGCATGGATGTTAGTCACATTTTGAGCACACTTGAGGAACGAAACTCCCCTATTGAGAGGCTCGCATTTACGTTAGTTTTAGTAGTAAGGAAGCTCTGCCCCTATTTTTAAGCACATGCTATGTAGGTGATCACTAACCAACCAGTTAGATGGGTTCTTTCCCAGTTCGATGTCTTGGGTTAGCTATTGAGGTGGTCACTAGAGCTAGGTGAGTTTAGCATTCAATATGTTCTAAGGACTACCATAAAGGCCCAAGCACTAGTAGACTTTATCTCAGAACTAACTCTTTCGCCTGAGGTTGACAAACACACTCCACTTGTATGGATGCTATTCATGGACGGTTTTGCCACCTTGTATGGAGGCAGTGCCTGACTCATCTTAAAAAGCATGAATAAACAAGTGTACAAGCAAGCTCTTCGGTTTGGGTTCAAAATCTCCAACAATAAAGTCGAGTACGAGGTACTTTTCTTGAGGTTTCGACTAACCCGAGAGCTTTAAATCCAGGACCTAATAGTATTTAGCGACTCACAGCTAGTTATGAACTAAGTAAAGGAGAATTACGAGTCCCAAGATGCAACCATGATAAAATACCTTACTAAGGTATAGAAAATTAACCTATGACTTCTGATTTAATATATTATAGGTCTCCTGTGAAGAGAACGTCCTTATCGATGTACTTACTAGATTAGCATCAACCTAGGCTCAAAAGAATTATTGACCGTTGATTTAGATACTACTAACCCAAATCATTAAGAAGCCTGATGTAGCTATAGTCGAGGAAGAGTTGAGTTGGATGGACGAGATCCTACGCTATAAAAAGATAGAATGCTCCTAGTAGGCTCCATATCTGTCTACAGAGTCAAGCATCATCAAGCATGATATTGGACACTCAATGATCACCTATATCATTTCTTTTAGTCAACCATTTCTTACATGCCAAACATACCAAGTGAATGAGAGGGTGCTTGCCATGGTGCATGAGGGTATACATATAGAGCACATGTGAACGAACCCTCACCTTCAAAGTACTTTGATAAGGGCTCAATTGGTTGATGTGGCACAAGAATGCGTTGCTTATGCCCAAAGATGCAATCAGTGACAAAGGTTTATGTGGATATAATATCAACCTATAGTGCCTTTAAGTATGATTGATTACGGATGACATTTCACCTAGTGGGGTATGGGCATCTTTGGACCATTTTTGTTAGTCTTAGGCTAATGGAGGTTTCTCATTATTATAGTTGACTATTTTATAAAATGGGTAGACCCTAGCACCAATCACCGAAAAGTAGGTTGAGAAATTCATATAAAAGAATATTATCACCCGCTTTCGAGTTATGAGAGTCATCATCACCGACAATGAAACTCAATTTAACAATGTGAAGTTCAAAGAGTTCTATCAATCCTATAGAGTTAAACTAAAATTCAACTTAGTATCTTATACTCAAACTAATGGTCTTGCTAAGGTCACCAACCAAGATATTCTCGAAGAGTTAAAAAAGTAGGTTATTGGAGTAAAAGGTACTTGGGTGGATGGGCTACCAAGTATATTGTGAGCCTCTCCGATGACACCTAAGACTAGGTAGGAGAATTACCATTCAACTTAGCCTTCAACATTGAGATTGTCTTGTCACCCGCGATAGTCTTTCTAATACTTTAGGTTGAAAATTTTGATGTGGAAATTTTCGGAGACAAACTTTGAGCTGGACTCAACCTAATTTGCATTGTCATAACAAAAGCACATCTAAGGACATTGAGATTTAAGAAAGTGATAATCAAGCTATATAATTGAGGTGTTCACCTTCGGGAAGAAGGATGAGCGATACAAAGGGAAAGAAGGATGAGCGACGCATCCCTACATCATTCTGCATAGCTCATCCTTCCTCCCCCTTCGCGCATGCCGAGCGATGAAAGGGAGAAGAAGGATAAGGGATCGGGGAAGGAGGGAAGAAGGATAAACACTGCCCCTCCTTATATCGTTGTCGATAATGACATAGATACAGAATGATGCTGATGCAAATATAGAGTGGCATCGCCCTTCCTTACATCGTTATTAGCGTTGATGTATCTATGTCATCATCTACATTATCTTCTTCCTCCTCTTTCTTTGCATCACCTCTTGCCATCGGTCTAGCTCCTCATCCTCCTCCCCTAGAAAGAAGCCACAGAAGTCCTAACTATTCTCACCATCCACAGCGTCATTTTTGCTGACCATAACCACTCGTGGTCCTCAACAATACTATCATTTATCACCATCAAAAATATAATTAGGATATTAAAATTATTTTTTTATTCATAATTTTCGTGTCATTTATACATGTGTTATCATGTCCTATATCTTTCATCGGTAAAATCGATGACATTAGGATAAATAAAATTAAATGTTTCATTTTTATGACTATAGGGATTTCAATATAAATTTTTTAAATTTAAAAATTATGATATTAAAGAGATCTAACTATACATGATCATCTATAATTAGTCTACTAACATCTAAAAAGATCTTACTTCCAAAGAAAGAATGGTTTGAGATGACTTTTGAAAAAAAAAAAAACGACAGCATAATGTTTTAATGCTTTGTTGGAGAAGTGTCAGATTTATAGTTAGCCCATCAACTTGACCATATACGACGTGATGTGACTTGTGCTGATCTGTCGAAGGTACTCTAAAGTATCCGATGTATTGTTATCATGAACCAAAAGCAATATCAAATGAGATTTTCGATGTGGTTTCGACATCAACAAATCAGACTTTAGAGAAAAAGATCATATCTTGTTAATCGTGCTTGTATCATCTTTTATATATAGTCAATTTTTTCTGATGATAAGCGGATAGCTATACTTTTAGCTGACATGGCATATTTGGATGGCTCTAGTCAATTTTCATGCCCCCTAGATTGAAGACCAATATATTTCTATTCACTTCTTATTATAGTTTGGTTGATAGGAGTAGCAATAAACATAATAAATGATATTGTTTAAGAAGTTAATTATGGATGTGGCAATGGTGACAAATCAGCACACATTTCTAC